ATGGAGACCCTGCAACCGTATCCATCATATGGTCTTGTGACATTCTAGCAGCACCTTGCTGTAGTCTCATCGGCCTGTAAAATATTGGTTTTGCTTGCATGCGTCTCATACACAACCTGCGGTGGTTGACGGCTAGTGACGAGCATGACAATAGCGAACAAACGAAGTAAAAAAAATGTACGAATATATATTTATTTCTGCCTCTATAATTCGAGTCAAGAAGAAATTAGTTTTATTGACCTATCGAAAAGTGGCGACGAATGATTAGACTATTTTACTAACATGAGCGAAACGTAAAACAAAGTGATATTTCTGTTTAATAATTTCACCGTAAGCAAGACGTTTATGGTACTAGAAGCAGAAGTGCAAAAAAGTATTAGAATAAAACATACTATAGCATCTAGCTAGTTCAATACAAACACGGTGAGACCTAGTTGCCAATCGAGTAGTCCGCTTCGTTCCCTGCAATCGAGGCGCCAAGCATTATTTATTTGTAAAAATAACAAAATGTGGGACATGGCCAAAATGGGGTAAAGGATGGTCTTCTCTCTTAATATTAAACTTAGCTAGCCGCAAACACTGACCCAAACATACAACAATACTTCTAAAACCAAATTTATTACCATTTTTACTTCATCTATTATAATATCTCAGAATCTTCAAGAAGAGCTCATCACAAAAATTGCCATGAAAATATTCATAAAAGAGATAGAGGGAAGCCACGGAAAAGTCAGAAAGTGCAGTCAATATGCTAGGTCAAAACCAATAACATTCTAGACCCTTCTTTGAATTTTGTCAAGAATCTAAATATATATAGTAGGAATGGTAACAATATTCAATGAACGGTGAAATATATAAATATATATATATATTGAAAGCGATGTCTGATGATCCAGCGTCCTTTAAAAGGTCTCTGGTGAAATCAACTATTACAATGGAGCCTTAAAATGGTCTGTTTTTCTTTAAATTATTAGCTCTGAATTAACATTGAGTTCTCAGGATTTCATCCCCTTGGGACTACCCATACGGATTGCCAAGTTTTTCGTAACTTACCTATATATATATATATATATATATATGTGTGTGTGTGTGTGTGTGTGTGTGTGTGTGTGTGTGTGTGTGTGTGTGTGTGTGTGTAAAAAAATATATAGAAAATAGGAAAGAACCCGTTAGGTAAATAATCCAAAGTTCTTTAATATTTTAGTTATTATTTTTAAAAAACAGTGCTCGATACAAAAGTAGAGCATAAATATAATTATTTTTTTTAAAAATATGATTCCATCGTAAATATATATATATATATATATATATATATATATATATATATATATATATATATATATATATTAGAGGTTTGGTACAGTTATACAATTTGTCTCAATGTCAACAGTCAATTATTTTGCACAATTCCATAATAAAAGTAATGGATTAAACCATAAAAAACAAAAATGTCAGAAAACAAAACCTATCCTAGCAAGCTAAAAGAAAACGTTAATATTCCTATATTATTTGGAATTATTGTTTTCGTTTTGGTTGATAATGTGTTATTATAAAAGCATCGTTTCGGCCATGTATTCTCTGTTCAACATCAGGTACCGATTGATTGGCTGATGGAATATCAGTTCTTCATTGTGATATTGTATCCCTGAGATATCAGTTATTGTCCGTTCCTGCTTAACTGTTGTTTCAATACCTGATCCAAGGATTTGAATTCTGGACCATTAGGTGACAGTAACACATGTATAACCAAAGATGTGGTTTCGAAGTCTGTTAATGTAGTGTTTTGGGACTCTCTTATATTCAGTTTTAGGTTGGCTACATGTTAGAAACGTTGTGTCTATAAGATCTCTGTCAAACAAAATGAGGAAAATAGTTCGAAATAAAACCAGAACATTGACAATTACACATCTTGATGGAAATACTAAATAAAACGTTACTCTCAGATTTGAGACAAAGAAAGAAAAGCCAATTTAAGCGAGAATAAACATAAATCTGACTGTCTTGCTAATAATCGTTCGAGCACTTGGAAAATTTCCTAATTAAAAGAATTGAAAAATAGTGTATGGATTTAAGTTTATAAGATGAATATGTAACGGAATCATCTCAGAGAACCGAGGAAACTATGGATCAGCAAGGTGACACTCGTGCCAGTAGTTGTTGGAGCACTCGAAACGATATCGAAAACCGAACCAAAGCGGCAGGCGGAATTGGATAATCGAAATGATCCAGTTGTGAATAATAGTGACAACAGCTACAAAACCGGAGAAAATCATAAGAAATGATATTTGCTTGCTGTCATTCTGTAAACACCTTTAGGAGAACTCGGGAAGCGAATAATAAGTTATAATTCTTGTCCTTCTATTAGTTAGCATGGCCAATACTCCCTGCCAATACCTCATAAAGAATGGATAATTCCGTTTTGGCCTCGCGGAAAGACGGAAAAGATATATCGGAGACAGTACTTGGTTTCAGTGAGTTGTAGAATAGAACTCAGCGAAATTCCTGCTCTTTCATACTGCCGGGACAATGGACTGCTTCTACTTATAAATATGGCAAGTAGCCACATTAGAAAAGGATTATCTACACCTCCTGCCTGTACAGACTGCCTGTTTAAATTTTGGTTTAACCCTTATAAACCACTTTCACTCTGTAAAAACTGTCTGTTCAAATTTAGAACTAACTATTATATACCCCTCCTTTCAGTACAAACTGCTTCCTAACTTAGCACTTTATCTCGAGTAAGCTCTTGGCCTTTTACAGGGTGAAACTTTCTGTAATATATATATATATATATATATATATATATATATATATATATATATATATATATATATATTGTAATGACAAAAGTAAGAGGTTGTAGACTTTAAGAATGATTTATTCAACTGAGAATACAAGGTTCGCGTGCAGTGTCCTTTTTATAGTTCCAGTAAACAGTAATAACTCTCAAATTGAGAGTAATAATGGGAGACCATTCTCGATTATTCTATATATATATATATATATATATATATATATGTGTGTGTGTGTGCGTGTGTGTGTGTGTGTGTGTTTATGTGTGTGTGTGTATATATATATATATATATATATATATATATATATATATATATTGTGATTTCATGAATCATTGCTTAGGTTATAGTCAAGGCCTTCTGAACAGTTGAACACCACGCACTGTTTACCCATGATTTGTAATGTCAAAACATCATATATCTTAGGAAATGTTTGCTTCAAGAAGAAATAAAATGTCCAATGGAAGTCACAAGATTTGAAATGGAAGTGACGTCAGATCTAACAACGTGAAATTAATGTTTACCAAGAGCTATTCTGAACACGGAATATTTTTTTTCAGCTTATTACAAAAAGGTTTCCTAATTAATTTTTGACAAACATTTATTTCATCTTATATCATTTTTTAACAACTTCGAGATCGGGTGGTTATTCTGCAATTATTCGGATGTAGAAATAAAATATTATTCAGCAAAACAAGATCTCGTATGTCGCAGCAAGGAAGATGGCTTTACATGGCAGCTACTGTATAATTAAAGCAAGAAAAAGCAACTGGTAGATACCATATAAATCATGTCAATTATTATATTCTGTTGTAGAGCTCATCGTACACCCTTCTCACCCTACTACTGTGACAATCGACTGCTTCTACTTATATACATGGCAAGTAGCCACATTAGAATAGGATTTGAGTAGTATTTGGTTTGCGCTATGTATGAGTATTTAATGAACCTCCTCTTCTTGGTTTCCCTCTGCTTCCATTCGAGCTACCTCTTAATTGCTGTTGTTCCTAGGTCTAGCCTGATCCTGGGTATTAGTACCTGTCACGGCCCCGGCTATGGTCAAATAGTGACCCCCCCCCAGCAAAAACATTATGAAAGTATAAAAATGCATGTTAAAAGCAAAAATACCAGCAATATATTTTTATATAAGTAAAACGACAATACAAAACCAGTAATACATAGTATATCTGTAGTTGAAAGCATACAATTTCATTCAAAATATATTTAGTTGAAACCATAAAATTGTGTTCAAATTATTTAGATGCCCGCATTAAATATCCCATAATAGTATTTCTAAACAAAATCAACGAAACCAGCTTTTATCTCTGTAACTACATCCTTCTTAATTCTCGGCTATTTTGAACAAAAACATTAGAATACATTGGGAAAAATAAAGAAATAATACAAAATTGTAAGAGTTTAACGTGTTTCAGTAAAATGGAAAACGTTTATAATTTCAAATATTTCCATTTGTGCCCTCTTACTTCTTAAAATAATGACTAGAATTAAAATTCATAATCGTTATTGCAATATTTCGTTAAAGTTGTTAAGTTTAAATAATTAACGATACGATAAACTTATTCAATGATTAAATTAAAAATTAAGATTCATAAGAAGATACAAAGAAGAAAACCGTGAAATTGCAATTAATGTATAAGGAAGAATATCTTGAGATATTATGTCGATTTTGTATCCTTTGTTTTTCCATTGCAATATTACCTTTAAATCTACTCGTTAAAAATAAAAAGAGGTGCGATTTAAGTTGATAGGTTCACACGTTCGAGGAATAGATGTTGACTGTTTATTTAGGAGCGAACTATTCGATTTAGGCAGTACCAAAACGACATTAAAATAATAAAGAAAATCTTTGGGAACAGATCCGAACGACAAGCTCAAGGCGATATTCTTTATTTGTTAGTTCAAATTATTGCCAAGATTTATCCGTAAAAATGTGTCATATCTTTCGACGCCTATTGACACACAGTCGCTATTCATTCGACCTTCGTCCGACCCTCCTAATCTTGAATATGCACAGACAATACATTGATTTTTCAATAAAAAAGTTAGTTTTTTTCTTCATCAAAGGCTAACTTCAATGCATTCTGTTTTGAATGGGTTATTCGTTTGTTAGCAAAAGCAAAACCGAGCAAAATGCTCTTTGAGTCACGGCGATGACGAAAAACTCTCGATCGATAGCTATGATCTCTGAACAGAAGCCATTATATAAATAGTGGGCGTTTGCACAGATATATCTATAGCTTACACTCTTTTGAAATAAAGCCACAGAACAGACTGAAGGCGTCGTTTCTCCACTGACGGAGGCTTGGGGGGGGGAGAATCTTGCTAAACATGGTCAGACCTCACATCAGCAGATAAGAAATTAGATCAAGTTAACCTAACAGAGATGTGGAGTTTATTTTCAAGATTGTCAATTCTCTATAGCGAATGCTTTTAAATTGCCTTTAGTAACTGAATGAAAGGGAATGTGCATGTAAGTGGATATAACGTACCCAACTGAAATTGGAACTCGGCTCTTCAGTTTAACAATTCCCAGACATTATCCATTCCACCACTCGCGCATCCAAGCTTACGTCATCTGATATTCCCAAGCGGTCACCCATTTTGGTACAGAACATGTCCACGTTCGTTAACTTTGGTGATTATACCGAAACTAGTGTTTCAACGTGATATGTAAGCCGTAAGTCCAAGATAGTAGGGACATAATAATTAACAACGGCTTCTTATATATAATAACCAGAATGCTCAGCCTGTAGTTGGATTCACATGTCACTTGCATTTGTTAATTGTTGCTTGAGTGATTGCTTTGTTTCCTAAGGTTTATCAAGCCCTGTAGGCCATTTAAAGTCAAAAAATATTTTTTAGATGCTAGTAATTTTCTAGAGATAACAAAGATTTACTGACACAAGCCATGCTAATTAACCCATAGCTGGGAGAAGAAGATTTAGATTCACACCTCTCCCAAGGATATTTACGCGTAATGGAATATAATGAACCCAACTGGAATTGTAATGTCGGTAAGACATCGGCAGATAAGCAATAAGACTAAGTTAACCTAGCAGAGATCTGGAGATTAATTTCAAAATAGTCAATTTTTTATAGAGAATACTTTTAAATTACCTTTTATAACTGTAGTGGATTCCGGGATGAAATCCGGTACCAATAAATAACAAACGCCAAGAATGAATATAGGAAAATAATGTATTAACGTAATAATACAAACTGGTAAAGCAGGTTAGTAGTTCCAGGAATAGCAAAATATATATATTGATTTTCCAAACGTAGCTTGGATGTGGCACAAGGCCGAAATTAGGGTGCACCCAGTGAGGATCGAACTCACTAATCAGTCGAAATTGTTCTAGCGAGACAAGCTTGCTAACCATTACACTGCCTCGAGGTGCCCAAGCAAAATATATCTATACAGTCTTTGGTATTGAAGTATCGTTGTATGACTTCTTACTGAGTCTAAGTGCTCGCTCACTGTGACTCTTGCTCGCTACGATCGTTCTGTCTGTCTGTCTGTCTGTCTGTCTATCTATCTATCTATCTATCTATCTGTTACCTTCAACCTCTGTTGCTCTATCTCGGGTCTTCACGTAGCAGTGGTATATGTATATACTGGGTGAGTCCATTTGTGTAAAAAGGGGAGAACCCCTCAACAATAACTGAATGAAAGGGAATGCGCTTATAAGTGATATAAAGCACTCAACTGGAATTGGAACTCGGCACTCCGATTTAACAATTCCCAGACATTATCCATTCCATCACTCGCACATCCAAGCTTACGTCATCTGATATTCCCAAGCGGACACCCATATTGATAGAGAACATTCCCACGTTCGTTAACTTTGGTGATTATACAGAAACCCGTGTTTCAACGTGATATGTAAGCCGTAAGTCCAAGAAAGGAGGAATGTAATAATTGATAACGGCTTCTGATATAGAATAACTGAAATGTTTCAACCTGTGTTTTTTTATAAGATATATATATATATATATATATATATATAACGTACTGAACTGGAACAATTCCGAGCGATTATCTATTGCAACACCTATGCATGCAAGTTTACAACATCTGGTGTTCATAATGGTTCGCTGACTGTTGTGTTACAGCTCATTCTAAACACCAAATTCATTGACAGGGTGACGTTTCTTACAGTTAATCGCTTGAGGCTTAAAAATTACCTTTCGACCAGATCGTTACTCACGAGTGAAAGACAATTTCTATCAGTAAACTAGATTTTATTTTTGTGTTGGAACCTACTTCTATAAGTGAGCAAAGTAGAGATGAGACGTAGATGAGAGGGGTCGTGCACAATCCAACGGCTGTCTCCCCTGTCCGTTCTCCGAGGCCCGCTTTTTTTTCCTTTTGTGTCCCTTTTCGCGAGATGGCCAGTTTTATAGTGAACAATTTTCTTTGCTTTATCATCTTTGTCTAAAAAATGAATTCGTCTTTATTCCATGATTTTCTCTCCGTCTGAGCCTCTTGCTCTGTACCACTTACGGATAACCATCGGTCGAAAGTAAACGTTCTATATCCATTTTTGCAACAAGTCCCGCTGTTTTCAATTTAAGAAAACCTCAGCTAGAACAGATCTGGAGTTTACTTTCAGGATTGTCTATTCATCATATGGAATGAATTTGAATTGCCTTGAATAACAAAGGAGAATGGACTGTTCGTGTAGTG